TGATGTACAGGAGCTGGGAGGCTAAGTAAAGGGAGGCTCCATCTCTGCAGCCTTTGGGAAGTCAGCATCCAAGATGGGATGGGACATTTTGGTTAAACAGCTGGGTTTGCTCCTGTAAAATCAACTCATTGGTTCCCCCAACATGGACTTGGGTCGAATCCTGTCTTTGGTATGTTATCGGTATCCTATCAGAGATGGATAGAAAGAGATCCCTCGGGGAAAGGGTTACACTATCCAACTGTTTTGTAAGCACATTCCATAGTAAATCCCTTCCTGCTGGATATGGAACAACTAGGATTCTCATTCAGTGATGGGGTGCAGGGATGGACTGGCATAACCATTTAGTAAATGCATTTGGAAGTGTCTGATAAACACAGGCCAGTTTAACACTATGCAATTCCACCCAAAGGAATTTACTCAAGTCTAATGGAAGCACATGTCCATACCAAGACAGCTGTTAAAGAAGGACACTAGAGGCTGTCCGCTGGTCTCCAATATACACAAATGCACACACACGCACATAGGTATGCATACACACAAAAATATGCATACAGAGAGAGAAAGAGAGGAGAGAGAGGGGGAGGGAGAGAGAGAGAGAGAGATCTATTAAATAAAGTTTTAAAAAAGCAACCTACAGAAAGGGAAGGAATATTTGTAAATCATGCAGCTGATATGAAAATAACATCTTAAAACACATGGAAAAATCCTGAAAAGCAATTTGAAAACAAGCCAAGACTTTAAACAGACATTTCTCCAAATAAGAGCTACACCAGAAGATGTTCAGCATCACAAAGCATGAAGGAAACGCAAATCAAAAGGACAGTGAACACCATAATGACACCTAACACTGTGTAACCGAAGAAAAGAATATCACCATTATGGTGACTCCTGTCAAAAAATGTTGGCCAGATGTGGCCACATTGAAACCTTTATGCACTGTATGTGGGAATAAAAAGCAGTATTGGCCCCGGAAAATTAGTATGTGTGTGGGGCCAGGTCCTTAAAAACTTAGAAATAGGGGTGGGGATGTAGCTTATTTGGTAGAATTCTTGGTAGCACGCACCAAGCCCTGGACTCCAACCTCCATCACATAAATTAGGTGTGGTGGTACACACCTGTAACTCCAGCATGCAGGAGGTGAAGGCAGTCAGATGATATATAATGAGTTTGAGGCCAGCCTGGTACACATAAAACCCTGCCTTAGAGTAATCAAAAATAAAAATGTTATATGATTCAGCAATTCTCTTTCTGGGTTTAAACCCCTAAAGGCTCAGAAGCAGAGTAATATGTGTACACCATGTTCATAGCTATGTTGTCCACAGAGTCAAGTCCATAGAGATAGAAAGTAGAATAGTGGCTGGGCAGTGGCGCACACTTTTAATCCCAGCACTCAGAGAGCAGAGAAGGTAGATCTCTGTAAGTTTGAGGTCAGCCTGGTCTACACACACGGGGTTAGTTTCAGGACAGCCAGGGCTACACAGAGAAATCCTGTCTCAAAAACAACAACAAAGCAAACAAATAAAAAACCCCAACCACAGATAAAGAAAGAAAGTAAAGAATAGTGGCTGCCACCCACTGAAAGAGGAGGATGTGGGAACTTCTTGTTTAATGAGCAGAGTTTCAGTCTGGCAAAATGAAAAGCCTGGAGCTGAAGAAGGGTGGTGACAATTACTCAATACAAATGCCCTTGGTGTCACTAAATTGTGTGATTACAAATGATTAAGATGACAAATAAACTCTGTTCTGTGTGTTTGGCCACAATAAAAAACAATGTTTGAAAAACTAATAATGTTGTATTAAAATTATATTTCAAAAGAAACTGTTTGCTCTTAGTGGCAATCACTCTGTACATCAGTGGTGAGGGAAATGAAAGTCTTACATTCCGGTCAGCCGTTTGGTGGGCGTAAAGAAAAATATCTCTTATAGAGAGCTCTCTGGAGGTCAGCAGCTGAGCTGAAGCCAAAGGAGAAGGATGCTCACTGGACTCCTCCTCATTGCTCCCACTGCCTGACCTGAGATCATATCTTAACAGTTTCCAAGGGAGCACAGAGCTTGGAATGTGCACATTGCTATCACTTGGCAACCAGAAACTGGTGGCTGCAGCCACCTACCAGTTTTTCCTGTTACCCTGTGCCCTCATCTGCCATGGGCCCTTTTCCACCCAGGTAGACAGGGCCTACTGGGGAGGCCAGGGAGGCATCTCCCACCTGCTCCCTGTCTCAGCTTCTCCCAGGACTCCCAGGGCAGACTGGGACCCTTGCTGATGTAGGTAAGTCTACAGAAACACCTTGATGGAGCAAGGGAAGCATAGAGAACTTCTAGTCCAGAAAATCTTCTCACTTGTAACCATGGGTGGAAGATGCTGGGGAGAGGATGGATAGAACACAGCCAGGCCCTCAGGGGACTTACAGGCTGTTGCAGAAGACAGCGCTTAGCTCTGTTCTTTCAATGTACTAATGCCTTTTCCAAACTGACTATTGGACACAGACTTTCTGAGGCACAGATCACCCTTAGCTGAGGTGGGAGGACCACAGAAGATGTCATGTCCTGTCTGTCCCAGCAGTCACCAAGAAGCACCAGAGCCACTTCCTCTGAATTCTATAACTCTCTACCTGAGGGCTTTCCATAATTCTAGAAGTAGCTCTTACCGGAGTGAAATACTACCCCAGTTCCCCAATCCTGAGTTGGGACATCTCTGAGATCTTTCGTACTCTCTCCTCACTGTTTGCCAGGAAGTGTGAGTTCCAATTGCTCTCAGAGGGTTCTCAGGTACCTCCTTTAGTCCACCCCTCCTGCTAAGACCTAGAATCAGCTCTCAAATAAGCCACTCAGGCTCCCAACAGGATCTCCTGTCGCCTATGATGGCCTTGAACTCATCACCAATTTGAGATTGGCCTTAAGCTTCTTATCCTCTGCCTCTTCCTCCCAAGACCCGGGATTACAGACACAAGCCACTATACCTTCAGTATTGGCTTTTGCGGGAACCCACACTAAGACAGCCAATGGCATGTAAAAGAAAAGGGAAGTGTGGGAGCTGCAAGCCACAATCAATGGTATGCAAAGCAGTGTGGAACCAAGGGGTAGAGGCGAGAGAACTGGTGGCTTAGGAAGCAAGACCACATTGCCCAAAGACAAAACAACAGCAGGAACAAGAAAGAAAGAATAAGCAAAAAAAAAAAAAAAAAAAGTAAAAGCACTAATAAAACTGACCGAAGGTCCAGCCTGTGTTTTACTATCATCATGAACCAGCAACCCTAACTTACTTCAGTGATAAAATTCTCCTCCTTACTGGAGCTGATAGCTTTGTCTGTTGCTTGCCTGCCCCCTTGGCACACCACCAAACTCTTAGAGCACAGCGTGGAGCAGAGGCTCTCAACCTTCCTGATGCTGCGATCCTTTAATACAGTACCCCGTGTTATGATGATCCCCCTCCAACCATAAAATTACTCCATTGCTATTTCCTAACTGTAATTTTGCTACTGTTATGAATCATAATATAAATATCTGATTTGCAACCCTTGTGAGGGTCATGACCACCAAGTTGAGAACCACAGGTGTAGAGAGTAGTTAAAGATGAGAAAGAAATGAGAGGGGCAGTGTTGATTCTCCCGTTACTCAGGGACAGCTACATTTCCCACTTTGCCTTTGCAGATGCTATACTCTTTCACAGGAGCATTTCTTCTTTATTCTTCCATGAGAGTTCTGTGCAATTGGCCATTTCTTTATCCAAGGAACTCTTCCCAAGCCTCACTTGAATCATATACTTCCTGTGGTCCTTGTGTAGACCTCTAAGCACCTCCAAATGACAGATTTCATATGGGATTGCTTTTTGACTATTAGAAAAACCACTACAAAGTTCCATCAGGGCAAGATCTATGGTTTGTTCACCTAGGCATGAGAGCTGAGAAAAGTCAAGATCATTGTAGCCAGGAGATCAGGGAATGAAAGGACACTTGGAGGTGGTATCAGAAAGGCACAGGGCCTGTGGAGTAAGAGGGTGACAGACCTAGAGTGAACTTCTCCTTTGTGGTGGGAACTCTAGGTGGCTTGGGCCCAAGGAACATGGTCTTGCCTGTGTTTTTCAGGATCTCTCTGGTTACAGGGTGCAGATAGTGTAGCAAACAAGGCTGATACCAGGCAAACAAGAGAAAAATGACAATGACTTGGGTCATGGTACCAACCAACATGGGAAATTTTACTTGACTACAGAAAGGTATTGGACTTCAAGAAACATGGAGAAACAACAGGTGATAAAAAAAAATCTTGATGGAGATTGGGGAACAAGTGGTTGATATTTGTCAATTATCTCATGGGCTGTGATCAAGAGCTGTGTTTTCTTGGGGGAAGTCATTTCAACTCTCTTTCTGATCTTTTTGTCACCTGCAAAGTGAGGATGGATAATAAAATATACCCCATGAATTTGTTGAGAGGGGATGTAAAGGTTTTGGCACAGGATTTAGCATGCAATCAACATACATATAATGGCTATCCTAGAAACCAAATTACCAGTTCCCAGGAGCACTTCTATTTCTCATTGGCTGATTGTGACACGATTTCCAAATCTATGTAGTGGTATAGTACTGTTATCAATACCAACTGTATAAGATTGGATCTGGAGAGTTCGATAAATGCATTAAAACTTAGCATGTAGAATAAAGTGCTACCAGGCAAGCACTGCAGACATGCTAATAAGTTACTATGAAAACATCTAAGACAGATTGCCTAAATTCTTCCCCGGCCTAGTACACATTCCACTTCGCAGATGAGAAGTCTACTGTAACTGGCAGTAGGCAGTCTCTCCCCAGGAATGAACAGCCTGGCACTCAGCAGCTGGTCCTGGAGGTAGATAGGCTTTAGGATGTTATGTCCTAACTCGCGCGCTTCCTAACGGAACCTTCTAGTTCGGCGCTGGTGTTTCTAGCCCGGAGCGCTCACAAAGTCAGCAGCTATTTCCGGTGCGGGTTTCTCCGTTTCCGCGTTTCCGCGTTTCCGCGCAGGTGCAGACAGAGCCGAAAGCAAAGGCAGCGTCCAGAGGCGTCGCTGCTGCTCTTAGTCCCGCTTCTCTTAGGTGGAGCGGCTTGCTGCACAGTCCCCTCCTTTTCTTCCTTCTCCACAGAAGCCGCAAGCATCCATGGCGGGCTTGGAGGTTCTCTTCGCGTCGGCCGCGCCGGCCATGACCTGCCCGCAGGACGCACTCGTCTGCTTCCTGCACTGGGAAGTGGTGACAAACGGCTACTATGGCTTGGGCACCGGCGACCAGGTACGCTGTGGAGCCGGCCTGGGTGGAGGGGAGCCTGAAACCAGAGGCCCAAAGGCCTGCCCTGACCGTGCCAGAGCCAGGGCCCGAGGCTTCTGACGCCGCACTTTTGCGCGCCTGGCGCTGGTGCCAACAACTGGCATAGCGTGTGTGTAAACTCGAGAACCAGAAAAGCGCCCCGACACAGCTCAGCAGTCGCTTTGGCGGTGTTGTGTGGACCTGACTGAAGACAGGCTAGTAGCTTCCTCAAGGTCCTCATCCACCAATTTCCTCAAAGCGTCTATCACACAGTCGTGCCGTGGAATACTCAGTGCTACTCACCCAGCTCTACATCTGGATCCAAGCATTGGTGCGGCATGACTTTTGACTCACTCAGCCATAATCTAGGACCCCTTCTTCACCACTCACCATGATGGATCAGCCACAGCCCACTCATTACACATCTACAGTCCAGACTACTAGAAATAGAACCTAGGTAGCACTTCCTAGTAACTACACATAAACCTTGACTGTGAGTGTCTTCCCGTAACTGTCTCCACCAGAATCCCAGCTACTCTTCCATCTCCAGTGATGGAACCAATGAAGCCTTGCTGACACCTCCTTAGCATCACTAATTCTGTGCCCTACCATTCTTCTTTTTCTCTGCCCCTTCCTCATAGTCTTCACCCTCCATGTCTGCCTGTAGGTTTTTTGGGGGGTGAACTGGCCCTTACTGCCCTTTCATTTGCTGTCTCCTCCATCAGAGGAAATATCTTCTCAGCCACAATCCCCACATACAAACATTTGGGGACTCAGGACTCTAAGCCTGTCCCATTGTGTCACTGTCTTGGCACTCATAACTCAGACCAATTCTGGAAAGACAGCTTCCCTCACCCCTTGGATCTTATGGTGAGATTTTAATCTTCCTCTCATTTCTAGCTGCATCAGTACCCAAACCCCTAAATATTTTTAGCTTCTTAGATATCTGTCAGTCTTAGGACATTTTCTCTCCTAACAAAGCTTTATGGACCCCTTCTCAGACCCACTTTAACATCCTGAGTGTTTAAACAGGCATGGCCCTGCTGTGTTCCATTCCTGTTTGTCCTATGTAAGTAAGAACTCAGACCTCTGAGCCCCTTTCACACTTTACTCCCATCAGAAGGAATCAATACACAAACTTTTTATTGATTTCTCTCCTCTCCCCTTTCCCATCTTCTCTTCTTCCACACCTCAAGTAGCTCCTCAGGACTAGAAGATGCGGGATCCAGACATCTTTGGGAAGGACAAGGAGCCTGGGGAATGGGAGTTTTGGAAAGCATTGCCTGCTTACCATCTGTCTACCTCAGTACAAACTCCAGCATGCCCCTAGAGGGGACAGTGTTTGGATTTCAGACTAGAATGCTGTGTTTGTTTCTTACTGCTCATTCTCCTGAAATCCTTTCAGGGATCAAGTTGTTCTCCACTCTCTGCTGAAGGATATGCTTTTTCAGGGTAGAAGCTTAAAGAGAAAATCAATTAAAAATTGAGAGGCTGTTAACTGTTAATTTATCTTTAGAGAATTTTATTTTCTATCCTGGGGTCAGACTCAGAGGGTGTTTGTGTTGTCTCTAGCTGCCTCCTGCCACCCACCTTCTGTGGTGATAAGAGGGAAACAAAGCATGCACTTGACTGTGTAATATTGACTCAGCAGTTCAAGAGTGACGCTGCCCATTCTTTCTTTGGTTTTGTTTCTAGTGCTATAGAGCTGGGCTTGTAATATTTGATTTCAAAAACATGTTTGTTGACTTGAACAAAGATCAGGCATTGATTGGTCTCCTTGTTGAGGACACGGCTGCTCCCATAAGAGCTCTGTAGCTGTGTGACATGACTTCAGTGGAGGGCCATGGAGAAGGCCATAGATATGAGTTAGAAAATTTGGCTTTGTGTTGTGAGAATCTGAAGCATATAAAGAGAGAGTGAACCGTTTATGTGTGCAGTGTTGGTTGGTTGGTTGCTTTCTAGCCCAGAGGCTCTGGAGTAAGTGGCCATTAAAGAATGTTTCTAGCCTCAGGATTCTTCCTATGAAGACAGTTACCTTTACCCTCTTAGGGCCAGTCTGTCTGGGAAGGATCTCCAGCTTGACTTGCTCTAACCTTTCATAGGTCTCAGCTCCTCTCAGGCCTTAGTTTTCATCTGAGGGAGTTAAATGATGCTTTGGTTACCTGCCAACCATAGCCTTCTGGGAAACTTGATATTTTATATCACGGTGCAGAGGGCAGCCACATGATGTGTTGAGCCTGTCTGGCTTCTGTTTTCTGTGAAGCATCAGTCTTACCACAGTGAGGCTGTGAGCGTTACCTGACCCCAGCGATTCTTTCTTGCTCTGGAATGAAGGTGTTGAGCAGAACAGATTGTCTGTAAGCCAAGAGAGCCTGCTGGTAGGGCCAGTGCTGTCCATGTAGGACAGGAGAAAGTCAAAGGTCTTGACTGAACATGGGTAAGGTCTGCCAGCCCTGCCTCAGACACCCCTAAGTAACCCTTGAAATCCACACTACAGTAGGAAGTTACCCAGTAAGGCAAGAGGGTTTCTCAGGGCTGTGGCTAGTTTCAGTTTTGTTTTCTTCTTACTCTCCTGTCTCTGCTGAGGCCTCTAGTTTCCTTGTCACCTAGCCAAGTTTGACTGGGATTCCTCTGGCAGAGGATTTCCAAGCACCAGGGGTGGCCTTCCCTTGCACTTTCTGTGTAAAGTCCTTCGTGTGTGGACCTTCGTTAGTGTTCTCCATCTCCACCCTCACTCCTTCCCATCCCACCATGTTCTCATGAACACAGCTCTGGTCATGCTGTTCTGTGTTGACAATATAATGTGTGCTTTTTAAAGTTTTCTGTTTTTTTTTTTAAATAAATGGTATTGGACTATAAACTTTTTCCAACTCTTCCCACTCCCCCTGTAAATTCCCACTTCATGAATTCTCCCTCTGCACTTCACTCATAACCCACAGAGTCCAGTTAGTGCTTCCTGACAGAATGTTGCTTATCTTGGTGACTTGATCTTATAAAGGTGGTGGTTGAATGCTGCATGCACGTGTCTAGAGGAGAGTGTTTCATAGAATTACTCCTTCTCCTGGCTGCTTATTGCCAACACACACACAGGCATACACACGCATAAAGTTTTCTCTAGAATACTATAATTAGATCTAGTGTGTTCCTTCTGACTGCAGTGTAATATGCCACTGCCAGTAGAGTGTACATTTTACCTCTGCTTCAGCTGCTCAAGCTCTGACTGGGATGAAGGTTGACATTGCTTATGAGGCTCCTTGTCTCCACAGCTTCCTTCTGGGAGGACGTTTGAGTCTCAGCTCATACTCTAACCTAATAGTACTAAGTACTGCTAGATGGAATCCCAAAGGGCTTGTGTAAGTTTAAATTCCTAGAAGTAGTGTCTGAAGGTTCACTCATGCCTAGTCAAACTCACAGCCCTAGGGTGGTGGGTGGGTGTGACCTTTATTATTTCAGTTGCCCTGTGATAGCTAGTAAATTTGAAAAAACAAACAACGTTTATATGGTTAGCTGCTCTTTTTGTTGTTTGTTTTCCAAGCCTTTCCTATGTCTGGTTATTAATTCTTGCCATTTGTGCTTCCTTTTGGTTCTAGTGTCTGTGGCTGAACAGAAGCTCTAAGTAGCCTCACAAGTGGCATTGTGTTTCTTTTAGTGGTCCCGTTTAAGAGCTTTATTCCCTACCTGAAAGTCACTGCTTGTTTTCACTGTCACTTGGGACTATTCTCATACTTTAATGTATGAAAGGGAATGTGCTGGTTGCTTGGAGTTTGTTTGTTTGTTTGTTTGTTTGTTTGTTTGTTTTTGTTTTGTAGGAGCTGGGGTGGGGACTTTTAACACAAACTAGAGTAATATGGGAAGAGGAATCTCATTTGAGAAAGTGCCTCCATAAGATTGATAGTAAGATAGGTAAGTCTGTAGGGCATTTTCTTGACTAATGATTGATGAGGGAGAGACGGCTCAGCTGACTGTTTAGTTTGTCTTGGGGTATATATGAAATCAGCCTGAGCCAGCCAGGAAGCAGTGTACTTCCATAGCTTTTGCTTCAGTTCCTGCCCCCAGGTTCCTGCCTTGACTTCCTTCTATGATAAATTGTGGTATAGAAAAATAAATTAAATAATGAAGTAAATAAAAATAAACCCTTTCCTCCCCAAGTTGCTTTTGGTTATGGCATTTTATCACAGCAATAGAAGTCATAACTAAGACAGGGAAATCTTAGAATTATTAAATAAGGACAGAAAGGAGACTGTCACAGTGAATACATAGATACATTTTACAGTCCACCAGATTGGCAAAAACAAACAAGTAGATAATAGCAATCCTGCAGGCTGAGTGTAGAACCAGGAGCTCACATATTACAAGTTGAGAGTGCCAATCACTATTTGGTACACAGTTTGCTTTTATCTTATGAAAGTTCATCCTCTGAGCATACCACATGTGTGCCAGATGTGTACAACAACGTGGCCATAGCAGCATTGTTTATAATGGGAAAAAATCAACTTCTAATGAACTTCTAATGTCCATCAGCCAGTGAAATTGTAAATCATAGCATATTCATTTGGTGCAACACAGTATAGTTGTGTATGTCGATCAGCTACAGAATGCTGATCACCTTCCCAAAGCAACATTGGATAGAAAGGGCAAGGATTGAGCCAAGAAGATGGCTCAGTGGGTGAAGTGCCTACCCTGGAAGCATGAGTTCCTGAGTTTTCATTCCTAGTGCCCATATCAAAGCCAGGTGTAGTGTTGAGTAGAGGAAGAGGCGCTTCCCTGGAGTGAAGGCCAGCCTTCTGACTCATTGAGCTCCAGGTTCAGTTAGAGACTGTTTCAGAAAATAAGGTGGGAAGCAACTGAATTCAAAAGCATTGGAATGGATGGATGAGTGGATGGATGGATAGATAAGTTTATATTATATTTGACTATATATTTAGTTTATTTAATGTTTATGAGTGTTTTGTCTGCATGTATGTCTGTGCATCTTGTCTGTCTGGTACCCACTAAGGCCAGAAGAAGACACCAGGTCCCTTAGGACTGGAGTTACAGATGGTTGAAAGCCTCCATGTGGGTACTGGGAGTCAAATCAGTTCCTCTAGAAGAGTAGCCCGGCTGAGCTGCATGTATAGTAATGTAATGTGAAGGAAAAGTAAAAATGATAAAAGTACAAAAGTGAGCACACACACACACACACACACACACACACACACACACACACACACACAGAATATTGGTTGTGCACAGGCTTTAGTGATTAATGCTTAGTGACTGATGACTACATAAGTATCTATTTTACAACTTTCAAATCTTGTTTGTGTGCTACATATGATTACATATAGTCAGGATTTTTATCAAACCACCTCAGTTGGTTGGAGAGTCTGTTATGATCTGTGCTTTCAGTCATTTTGTGATACTATTACAGATAGCCCATGGTGTGAACTATGGAAAATACTGCATTTAATTTCACACTGGTCTTATTCTTGTTAGGATGATAGAGTAGAGAGATGATTATTAAGCCAAGGATGTCATTATTTTAATCTTTGGTGGTTCTGGGAGTTAGGTCCTCATACATGTTAGGCCATACTCTACTACTTAGCTCTATTCCTAGCCCATGGCCTTAGCTTCTTGACAAGTTCCTCCTGTGCTGTCATCAAAGCAACCAAATAGCTGAATAAGAGTGTTAGTTCCCAGACCTCTAACTAGCTGTGTATCCCTGGACACATGTGATGGGAGGGAAGGGATTAGGCTATGGGTAATATGTTCCTTCATAGTTTTGGGTTTTGAGGCCAAGATCTTCCTGTTCTCAAGCCTGGTATCTTCTCAGCCAGGTCCCAATGATAAGAAGTCAGAACTACTGCCAGCTAAGTGGAACAGCAATAAAGAACTGTATACCCTCCGGTATGAGTCTAAGGATGGAGCCAGGAAACTCCTTCTGAAAGCTGTCTCTGTGGAGAATGGCATGATCATCAATGTGCTGGTGAGTCTGAACTAGGATTCTGCCAATGGTGTGGGATTGAGATACCTGTTTAGAAACTCATTTTAACAGTGAATTCAGAAATGTCCCCAAAGTTTTTACCTAGCAATTCCACTTTGGGCATTTGTCTCCTGAGGTGAAAAACCACAGTAAGTGTAGAAGAGCTTTGTGCACAAAAGTGTTCATTGCCTGTGTTGTACAGAAAAGGAACTCTGTGTCCACAGCAGTACTCACTCATTGGCAACACAGGAGATAAAGGCTACTGTAATCCCAGCATCTCTTTTAGTTTCGCAAGTAAGAGACATTCCATTTCTTGCTCTGGAGACTACCCCCTCCATCACATACTGTGTGTGTGTGTGTGTGTGTGTGTGTGTGTGTGTGTTCGTGTGTTCGTTCAGCTATGACTATCTACCCTACCCTCCAGACACGTCTAAATGAAAGCTTTCTATTCTGTTTTCCATGTGATACATACCATGTCTTGTATTTATGTCCTTGTTTGTGCTCTGCTCTAATGCTTGTATTTCCCCCTGAACTGTGAACACCTTGAGGTAGTTGACTTTCTTTCTGTTCCATTTTGTCTTGGTTACATGTGTGCACAAAAGTGTCTGGCTGTATTATTTGTACTTGACTTTTTCCATTCAACGTGTTTGAAGGTCTTTACATAACACAGATAGATAGACCTCATTCTTTCATTACTCTATATTACTTAACTGTCCTTTCCCTTATTGATGAACATTTAATTCTTTTCTAAGAACTGGGTTCTTAGGTGCAAACAATTCCTTTAGGTTAATTTAAACAGATTGAAAGAATAGAGATAGCTCATGAAAGTAGGTTCAAAGCTAGGCTTCCAAAAGCAGTACCCCAAACCCTAGAAACCACTATTGCTTGCCCCTTCAGGCTGGGTATCAGTTAGTATTCAGTCTGCAGTGCTCCGTGCTGTGTGCTGTTCCCTTCCTGAGCAAGATGCCTGCCCTTAGCTGGGCCTGTGTTCCTATGTTGCTCCAGATTATGGTTGTGTATTCATTGGATACCTCAGTTCCTTGCCCACCTTCCCCTGTTACCAGTAAACTGGAAAATATACCCCATCTCTCATTTTCTGTTTTCATTTTTCTAGGAACATGGCACACAGCAGGTGGCAGACTTGACTCTGAACTTAGATGATTATATTGATGCAGAAGACCTGAGTGATTTCCACAGGTACTTCTAAAGGGTGTCTTTTCCATGAGAAAAGGCAGAGGGACTCAGTAGCAAGAAATAAGGAATGGTATCAAAGTCCCCGGAGACAAGTATGGTCGACAGAAGAACTTGCCCTAGGCCCAGTCAGTTCTCAGTTCCGTCCCTTTTACATATTTGTTTGTTTGAAGACAAGACCCTTATAGAAAATTTCTCATGAATTAAAGTCATGCATTTAAGAGTTCATAGATGCTACAGTGGCTACAGACTTGGGACTAGGCTAACTGCTTCAGTCAAGGATAAGGTCCCTAGGGGCCAGCAAGTGGCTCAGTGGGTAAAGGTGCTTGCTGGTAGAGGTGCTAGTGCACAGGCATGATAACCTGAGTTCTGCCCTGCATCCCGTAGTTGGCAGGAGAGAACCATGACTCTGCAGATTTATTTTCTGATCACACATGTGCCATGGCCTGCGCGCACGTGTGTGTGTGTGTGTGTGTGTGTGTGTGTGTGTGTGTGTGTGTGTGACACTTTTAAAAAAGAGTAGGTTCCTTATTGAAAGTATGCTTAAATCAAGTACATCTTCATTCTACTCCCAGGGCTTGTTTTTGTTTTTTTGGTTTTTTGTTTCTATTTAAGAGTCAAAATTTAGTTCCTATCTGCTCGGTGTTCCACTGTTGTATAGCAGCAGAGAGGCACCTCAGTTATGAGCCATATACCTACACACACTACCTCCATGTTGGGGTCACTCTTAGTGTTGTGCAGTGTGTGAGTTTGGGTATACATACAGTGGCATATGCAGCATTTCAGTGTCATAGGGCACTGCTTTACACTGTCAGCATCCTTGTGTTCTTCCTGTTTGTTCCCCTCCTCCATTATCCTTGAGAAGCATTGATCCTGTTGTGTCTGTAGTTTTACCTCTTCAGAATGTCAAGGTTGGAAAAGGAGTCCATACAAACTGTCTTCCCAAGCGCCTGTGCTGCTCTGCATTCCTGCTGTCGGTGAATAAGGAGAGCTTCTGCTGCCCACACCCGTGTCACTGTTTGGCAGTGTAATAGTTAGTGGCTTTGCATTGTTTTAAGTGTAGTTCTCTAGAGGCAGGGTGTGGGTCATCTTTCTTGGGCTTATTTCTCTGTGTAGTTCTTTAATGAGGCTGTTCAGATCCTTTGCTCAGTTTCAAATTAGGTGGTTCCCTGTCTCACTTAGTGTTAAGAGTTGGTTGTGTACTTTGGGTGGCAGTCCTTCACTGCTCACTTTTCCGTGTGTTCTCTCCCGTTTGTGGAGACATTCTGCTGACTTCTTAATTTTGAAATTTATAACCTATAGACGAGAGACAGTTTGCAAAAATACACAGTAGATACCCTTTTAGCCATTACCCAGATTAAACAATTTTTAATTTTTTTTTTGCTCAATTTTCTTTGTTGTTTTATATTCTTGAACCATCTGAGGGTTATTTACAGACTTTATTTACTTTGTTTAAATTTAATTTATTTAATTTGTCTAACTTCTGCAGCTTGGAATAACTGTGTGTGTGTCTGTGTGTGTGTGTGTGTGTGTGTGTGAGAGAGAGAGAGAGAGAGAGAGAGAGAGAGAAGAAAGGAGGGAGGAGGGGTGATGGAGGAAGAAGGACAGCCTCAGGAGTAAGTCCTCACTTACAACAGGGTGTCTCTGTTGTTTTGCAGCTGTGTATACCAAGCTAGCTGGCCTACAAGCTTCAAGGATTCCTCTATTTTTTTTTTTTCCTATTTGGCTATAGGGTCAGTAGAATTGCAGGTACATGCTGCTGTGCCTGGCTTTATTGGTTCTAGGCTCCTCACACCTGAGTGGCAAGTGCTTTATCCTTCTTCCAACACCTTGGCCTAAACTGTCTCCTTAGACTAGCAGTTTCATAAGAATATCGTCTTTCTCAACTTTAAAACAATGATCACACTTGGGAATATAGCATCAGTATATCATTTAAAATGCAATCCACATTCTGATTTCTGCATCTGTCCCAACAGTGTTCTTCAGAGCTAATCTTTTAGAATTTTCCTTAATATTTCCTAAATATTTCCCATTACATTAATTTTATGTCTTTTTAATTAATTTTAACTAGCATAGTTCCTAGACATTTTTTCCATTTTCTTGTTTTTTCAAAACTTGAAGTAAATGTGTGTGTGTGTGTATGTGTGTGTGTGTGTGTCTGTGTCTATGTCTGTATGTCTGTGTGTCTGTGTGTCTGTGTCTGTGTCTATGTCTGTAGGGATCTTGCTAAGTAGGCCAGGATCCCTCAACCTCCATGGCAATTTGTTCTCCATTTCAAAATTTTTTTCACTTCAAACATTTTATATAAATAGAATTAATATGTAGTCTTGGGCTTGTCATTTTTACTCAGCATAATACTCTTGTGATCCATCTAAACTGTAGTGTACTTTAACTATTTGTTCCTCTTGTTTACTGAGTATACTTTATGTTGTATGTACAACAGTTGATTTGATCACTCGCTGGTTAAAGGATAAGTTAAGTGACTAGATTGTGTCCAGTTGGGGCGTTCACAGATACGGGTGTCATAGCATTTGAGGACAAGCTATGTGTGGTTGTGCTTTTTATTTCTGTGTGGAAGACCCCAGAGTGCCATATTTGGTTCATATTTGGTTTAGTTTTGATGTTTTCTGTACCATTTACATCCACTCTTGTTACAAATGTGCCCACTTCTCTGCATCTTGTTCTAGCATTTTATTTTATATTATTTGTTGAATGTGCAGTCATCTCCAATTGGGATCATTAATTTGTATTTCCCTACTAGTGAATGAAGTTTTGAGGTGTTTTGTTTTTTTGAGGCAAGATTTTCTTGGAAATTTGTCATAGGCAAAAAGTTTCATTCCTCGCCTTTTAATAGCTATGATTTTTTTTTTACAGTGCCTGTAGCTCCCAGCGTTGTTAATAAGAATTGCCAGAGAGCTTCCTTGTCATGTTCCCACAGTTGGGGTAGAGGATTCTGTTTCCACCATGGACTGTATTGTTAACTATGGCAGATGCTCTTTAGTGAGCTGAAGACTGTTTCCTATGTTCCTGGTTACTTTTATCATGAGTCCATTTATCATGTTGTTTTGTGCTTTATCAGTTGGTATAATTACCTGATGTTTATTTCTTATTTGTTAGAATGGTGGGTGACACTGATTTGTGAATATTAAACTAGTCTTGCCTACCTAGAATAGATGGTTTGGTTATATTGTATGATTTAAATGTATTTTTTAAGGTCAATCTTGATATTTTTGAGAGGTTTTTGTTTTGAGTTGGTAAAGAAATTCTGGTCTGTAATTGTATTTGTTTAGTTTGTCTAGTTTTGATATTGACTAGCACTGGCTTCCTGAGATAGTTTGGAAGTGCTCCCGCCTGTGCTTCTGAAATTGACTATTTTTTTTTTTTACAGTGAAAGTAAAGTTTTGTGACTAGGCTTTGCTGTATTTGTGTCTTGAGACATCTCTTTGAAGGCAGGCTGTGTATTAGTTAGTTTTTAAAATACCATGACCAAGGCAACTCACACAAGAGTTTATTTGGGCTTTTGGTTCCAGAAGGCTCAGGGTCCTTCATGGACAGGAAGCATGGCTACACGCCAGGCTAGAGTGGGATGCTGAGGGCGCATATACTGAACTACATGCAGGAATCCAAGAGAGTAAGCTGAGAATGGGGCATGGCTTTTGAAACCCACCCAGGTGACACACTTCCTCCTGCAGGGCCACATCTCCTAAACCTACCCCAACACTGCTACCAACTGGGACCAAGTATTCAAAAATTGAGACCATGGGGGAACATCTCATTCCAAACACCACAGTGTGGGTTCAGCTTTTTCCTCTTTGATCCTTTCATCCTGGAGATAATTGAGTTCCATAAGATCAGAGATGTTTGTTTTGAGCTCTGATGTGGTTCCATGTGGTCAGGAACACTCTGTAGGATTTCAGTTGTGGAGTTTGCTTTATGGACCAGGATGTGGTTCATTTTAAAACTGCCAGTTTTTAAGGAGCTCTAAGTTCTGCCCACTTGCTGCTGCCTGATCTGGCCACCGCAGCTCAGCTGTAGCTCACGGTGCTTATTTCTCTTGGTGAGAAGGGACACCTGGTAGGGGCATCCTTCCCAGGATCTGGCTGAACTAAGCCTCAGACCCTACCTTTATCCTAGGACCAGGAACTTGATTCATCCTCCCACAGAGCCTTTCCTTCCATGACATGTGATGAACACATAATGAAGCTGAGGGAGGGGTGGCATAGGAACAGAGGAGCAGCCAGTCCAGGCTGTGCCCCTACTCTCACCTCTTTCTGATGGGGTGGTAAATGAGGAGGGGCAACTCAGATGCCTAAGAAACATAGGCCCAAATCTCGGAGACAGCGTCAGGCTGTTGCCCCCCTCACCCAGGTCCGCCGGACGGCCCGTTCCCACCAGAGTAAACAGGCCAAGCGCAAGGCCAAGACTTCTCAGGGCCGTCGCCGACGTCTATGCCATCAGAATACTGTACATGAGATTCCCAGCCAACTGCAGGAAGCTAATTTTTTGTCTCAATCCTGCAGGACCTATAAGAACAGTGAGGAGCTTCGGTCTCAGATCAGATCTGGAATTATCACACCTATCCATGAGCAGTGGGAGAAGGCTCGTTCAAGCAGTCCCCCTCGAGAGTTCCCACCTGCCACTGCCAGAGAGGTGGACCCACTCCGGATTTCCTCACACCATCCTCATACTAGCCGGCAGCCTACTTGGTAAGTATGGAGCCCCCAGTGTTCAGCCCATGCATCCATGGTAGGATCCCACTTCCATCCCATCCTCCTCTTGACCCTTCCCTGATCCCCAAGTATCTTCAGCAGACTTGTTGAAAGTATTGGTGTGTAGAGGTAAAAAGTAGAAATGTGAGTAGATCAGTGAGTTCTGGTGCTACTAATAGTTACTCTATCAGCATTCTAAGCTGCCTGTCTCCTTTCCCAAGCTCACACAGCCCCTGTGTGTGTAGGGGTTGGAGGCTGTGCTCAGGTGAATCATAGTTACTCTCGTGTGGAGCTGTGAGCCATACTTTTGGGGGAATGCATAGGGACAGAATGCCATCCTGGAGGAGATGCAGCCCCAGAATCTTCTCCATTTCACTGCATTTTGTTGTATTCCCTCACCCCGACAGCTTCAGAAGATGGCCAGAGTAGCTGCTATATGAATGAATGGATGAATGAATGAAGTCCAAGGTCTTTGCAGATTAGTTTAGCAGCAATAGTCCTGGAGAATTCTACTCTGATGTAGGAGACAAAGACCAGGGAACTGTAGTCTATCTAGACAGCATGTCCTAGTCTGGAGCTGACAATATGGTTAAGACAGGGCTTGGTATTATAATAGGGGAACATTCACTGTGTGGCATATAGTAAGCACTCAGTGTCAACTACTATTGGCTTTTTATGTTGGCTAGGTGTTGTATACTTTTGGTTAGTTGACATATAGGTAACCAATTAAATTCTTATAATTAATAATTGGCAAGTCAGTTTAGTGAAATCTTTTAAAATATTGGCTCCTATAGAGAGAATGAGGAACAACAAAAAGTACTTGAGAACTCTAGGAACTGCTTGTGCTGTAAAATCCACTTATCTCATGGAAGGGGACAGGTAATATGGCCTGCCTAAGGTCACTAGCCTCTAATAAAGAAGCAGAGTCAAGGTTGGGGTCCAGGTATCTTCATTCCCACCGAGTGCCCTAGCCATGGTCTCCTATGCTTGCAAGATTTAAGACTAATTGCTGGACAGTTACCAAAATGGATTTTTTAGACCCGAAGCAGATGACCCCCATCACTGAATAGTTTGAAACAGTGCTAGCAGCCTCTGCCCCTTCACACGTGGTGCAGACCTGTTTGACCTCTCACCTTCCACACCTTCATTATCCCTGCCCCACACCTGGAAACCACCACTCTGTCCTCACACATGGATCTGTTTTCTGAAGTGTGGAGTGGCCTGTCTGGAACTGGTCAGGGATGTTGGATATATTCAGCTAAGACTATAGCTGGAGAGGTTAGTCTACGGTAATGGAGAATGCCAGGTGAATAGAGACTTCGCTCTCCTGAAGGCTCTGGATTACTAAAAGCTGTCCCTACTTAATTGTGTACCTGTATGTGCATGCACACACACATAAGAGGAAGAAGAAATTACAAAGAAGATAACTAGATTCCTTTCCTTTCTTCTTTGTCTGATAAAGGGAAGGTGTTCTGTTTTGTTTAAATCTAAGCCTAACTTTTTGTTGTTGATCTTTTCAATCTAACCCATTTATGCTTAGCTCCATCCGTCTGCAAATAGTCAGGAAACTGTCTGCCTCAAATCATGTCCATTGTTTTGAGAACACATTTTTCTATGCTTATCCAGCTTCCCGAAAAGTAAAGCTTTAGTATAAAGCTCTTATTTAGGTCATTCTAAGTTTATTTTTGATCCTTAACAATCTGTCTTTACAAATGATTTTTGCAGTTTGTGTTCTGCATCTTCTTAATAGTCTTGTTTATTAAAATGTTAAATATGTCTTTTTTTTTTTTAGTGTTTGCTAGTTTATTTTACTAGTGTGCTATGATTTTCCTGACCTCTATATATGCATGGAATATTTCAAGCATTTCAGGTTTTCACTGAAAATAACCATAAATACTTCTTTAATTCTGTACCTATCTGTGCATGCACACACAGTAAGAAGAATTAAATACATTTTAAAAAAGAAGATATCTTGATTCCTTTCCTCTGTTTGTATTTGATTTCCCCCCTTTTTCTTTTCCTTTTTTTAGTGCTAGAGATGAAACCAAAGGCCTTGTACCTGCTACTATGTGCTGTACCACTGAGCTACACTGAGTAAGGATCAGTGGATCCTTACTTCTGCTTGTGTATTCAGTCATTAAGTGATGTGGATTCTGTTGAAGGTGGCACAGCTTTGGGTTGGGGGATAAAGAGCCATAGTGTTGCAGCTGTAGTTGGCAGTAGGGCCTGAAGATGAGGTAAAGTCGCATGCAATAGCCAAATTTATTTAGAGCATCAGACAATTTATACTCAGGGTTAAGAAGAATCATATATATGGTGATCAATCACAAGGATAAGCCATACATTGCAAAAAGGTGGTTTTCCATGGAGGCTCATGAATAACAACAGCTGAAGTAAACTCCTATCTTCTACACCTATACCTGGGAGGAACACAAAACACATTCCAGAACCAATTCTGTGTTTCAGAGACACTGAAGTCACAAGACTCTTGTTCTCTGAGACTTTCTCACAAGCTCTCAGAATTCTCACACGACTCTGTTCTGGACTGTGTTCTGACAGTAGAGTAGGAACCTTTCCAGATATCCTCTGTAGCTACTCTCTGCAGTTACACTAAGCACTGATCGACAAGTAGTAGTTTTCTTTGAGTTAGTTGCAGTATTGAATTTTCATCTGTATCAGTGAACTTTCTGTGTGTCTGCGTATCATGTCAAGCCCTTTGAGTGGATCTTTTTATCCATTATATTGAAAGATTATTTGAACATTTGGAAAACACTAATTCTGAGATACATAGATCTACTGAAAGCTCATATGTTTTATTTAAAGATATCAAAAATCATATTCAAAACTTACTAATATCAAAAAGTACTTAGATTTTTGTCACACAAATGGTTAATACAAATTTCCAGTTTGCTAGTTTTTACTTAAAATTTTTACTTTCTGCTGAGCATGGTGACACATCTTTAATCCAGTACTTGGGAGGCAGAGGCAAGTGGATCTCTGAGTTTGAGGCCAGCCTGGTCTACAAAGCAAGTTCCAGGACAGCTAGGGTGGTTACACAGACAAACTCTGTCTTGGAACAAAACCAAAAAAATTTTTTTTTCATTTTCTAATTGGTAACATATACTGCCTATTGTTTTCCTTGAGTTAATATGTTCCCTCTTTTGAAGAAAGTGTCAAGTATATAGTCACATCTGCATAGCCACAGTTTGTTATTCTTTCAGGTAAAAGATGGTTTTCATTAAAATATATCTATTCTATTTATAGCTAAAAACAGTAGCACATACTCTTTCTAGAAGGGCTTTGGTACATGTTATCTTCCTCAGTGAATCACAGAATATAAAAAGACATGCTCAAAGATAGATATTAGAAAACATTCTTGACAGCATGTGCCTCAGAGCTAGGTTTGATGCTGACGTCATGGGAGTCATCTAAAGGCTTTAAACGTAGTGTGGTTGTAAAGCCCTTTCCTGATCTTTTTCACCCTTCAAGGAGTGTCAGTGAGAATATGACAGCTATGTTCTACTAACATGGTTAATATTAATTGAGCCCTTACTGTGTCCTGAGAACCATATTAAGTGTAAAGATAGTATCAGACATAATCTTTTTAATTGCCAAATAAGAGAAAGGGGATAGGCACTGTTATTACCTGTATAGAAAATGAGGCACAAAAGGTGACCCAGAGTAAAGCAGCTCATGGGTGTTGGATCAAGATTATGTTCCTCTTTGTGACATGTGTATCAGCAACTTTTTCAGAAGTGATGATAATGGTCTGGATTAGTCCAAGAACAAAAGCTTGGTTACTTACAGGAGCATGGGCTGTGTACAGCTACTACACTGAAGAGAACCTCAACCTGTCTCCTACTTCAGGAACTGCTGTTATATAACCTCAGGGAAGGAGGAGGAGGAGTCCTGTGTTCATGCTTTCTTACTGCTTAAAGCCTCTTGAACAGTGGTTCTCAACCTAAGGGTCGTAGCATTAGGGAGATTGAGAACCACTCCTCTTGAGCCTCCCTTCTCCTCTGTGAAGGAATGTTGGTGAGCACACGCTTGTGGGAATCCTTTGAATAACAATAGCTTCTGAGAGTTCAAATGGGTCATAGCCATATCATGGCAAAGGACAATAAGAGGCTGACATAGGCAGGAAATCAGGGAGGGGGTGACAGTTTCTGGTGGAGTGTATGAAGCCGATATATCTAGGGGTTATTTAATAATTTATCTTTATTCAGACTCTGTCCTTTATTGTTTTAACTTTTTTTTTATGTGTTTGTGCTTGTGTGAGTGTATATGTACCTCATGCATGCAGGGGGCCATAGAGGCCAGAAGAAGGTATCAAATCCCCTGGAACTGGAGTTACAAGTAGTTGTGAGCCATCTGATTTGGTGCTAGGAACCAAACATATGTCTTCTGCAACAGCAGTATGCTCTCTTAACTGCTGAGCCATCTCTGCTGCCTCAGTTTTAACTTTTAATTCTTTATTTTATGTATATATGGGTGTTTGGGCTGCATGTATGTATACCATGTATGGCTTATGCCCATGGAGGCCAGACAAGGGCACCATATGTTTTTGAACTGGAGTTATGGGTGCTTGTGAACCATGATGTGATGCTGGGAATTGAACCCAGGTCCTTTGGAAAAGTAGCCAGCGCTCTTAACCACTGGGCCGTCTCTCCAGCCCTCCCATCCACCTAGTTTTACCTTTCGTTCAACTTTCATATTATTTCCAGTTTAATGTGATCAGTGTTAATCTCTGCTAAGGACCACTTTCAGGTGTTCTTTACATTGTGATCTTATGAAAGTGTCTTCCTTGTCTGGGGTTCAGTGTGTCTCCACTGCATCGGCTTCAAGCCCCTGGGAGCATAGGTGCTTGGCTGCTCTGGGAATTATGGTAATTGTCCTTGTTTGTTTCAGGCGTGATCCCCTGAGCCCATTTGCTGTCGGGGGAGAAGACCTAGACCCTTTTGGGTGAGTATTTCTGGGGAGGCAGCAGCAATATAATTTGCTCAATGGCTTGCAGCCCAGCTCATCCCATTTTAGAGCTTTCGTCAGCCTCCCTTTGGAGTGAAGGAGGTAGTTGCTTAGTGGCTGAGGAATCATTGCTACTTTTTGTGCTCTGCTATACCTAGAGCAGCTCAGAGAAAGAACTGGGACCCTCCTTCTCCAAAGAAGGATCGCAGCCCTTCCTGGATAAGAGTCATAAGGATGCAAAAGAAAAACCACACAATGGGCCACAGGCTGTAGAGTAACAGCTCAGGCTATTTAATGGTTACCTCATTCCACAAAGGGAGTATCCTCTGATTCTTATCCTGTATCCAGCAAAGGTTCTATAGCCTCAGCTCTGCACTGTTCTCTGAGTGAGTCAGATGAGGTTTAACTCCTGCTGAAGAGTGACCCCACTTTTAGCATCTCAGTTTTAGATCGTAGAACTCACTTAACTACAGAGCGGCTCAGACAGTGACCTCAGCATATAAGGAACATTAGCCTATTCATCCCAGCTTGAGTGTACAAAGTCAGGTCTGTGGAACTCAGTGAGGGACAGAGAATGCCAGGAGCCAGACTTGGGCAATCCACAGGCAGTTATCAGCTGTGCTGAGGCCCTTAAGGAAAGAGCAAACCCTCACTGTGGTCATGTTGCTATTACTCCTAGATTCAGGATAATACTCTGCAGAGCCAGAGAGTTCTGTATTAATCCTGGCCAACTCTAGCTCCGGTTCTTGACCAGTTGATTTTACTAGGTGTAAGACATGGCAGAGATCTCTATCCTTGTAGGCTTACGGAATCATAACAGAACTCTGTATGCTGCTGCAGGCCCTTTGGCTTCAAAAGTACACAACTTTGTGTGCTCTTTGTATTCTTGCTCACTTCTGACTTGATCTCATGTGTCTTCCTGAACCTTCTAGAGAGTCATCCTGGTCAACTTTAATTCACTATACACCTGTCTCCCTTCTTCAAGGGCAGTGAGTCTCTGTAACATCTGCTTACCCAGTTTCCTTCCTGTCTCAGGTGTCAGAGAGGTGGCATGATTGTGGATCCCCTGAGATCTGGCTTCCCAAGAGCACTTATTGACCCATCCTCAGGCCTCCCAAACCGGCTTCCTCCTGGTGCTGTGCCCCCAGGAGCTCGCTTTGACCCCTTTGGACCCATTGGGACCAGCCCATCTGGGTAGGTATTCATTCAGGTATGCTGAGAGGTGGGACTTGATGGCAGCTCAGCTTAGCTTAGTTCAGCATTGCAGCCCTAGGTATCTGACTCCAGGCACAGTTGTGCTGCCTCCCTGGAGGCTTCTAGGAGTTCTCTCCTCACCTTCTTCCCTTGGTGTCTTAGTTATCATTGCTCTGATGAAACACCATGAACAAAAAGGATCTTGGGAGGAGAGAGTTTATTTGGCTTACACTTCCACATCATGGTTCATCATTAAAAGAAGTCAGGACAGGAACTCAAAGAGAGCAAGAACTTGGAGACAGGAGCTGTGCAGAGGCCATGGAGAAGTGCTGCTTGCTAACTTGTTCTCCCTGGCTTGCTCAGCCTGCTTTATTACAGAACCCACCAGCCTTGGGGTGGCCCTACTCACAATGGGCTGTACTCTTCCCCCCATCAATCACTAATTAAGAAAATGCTCTACAGGCTTGCCTATAGTCTGATCTTGTAGAGGCATTTTCTCTCAATCAAGGCTCCCCCTCTCAGATGACTATAAGTTGTATCAACTTTATGTAAATCTGTCCAGCACACTGGTGACCCTGCAAGGAGGATTCAGGGAAAGAGATAGTTATGTCAGTAGTCCTTTAACAGATGAGAAGGGCAAGGCCAGGATACTGGATACTTGAGCCATGGTAAGATTTAGTTCCAGGCCATCTGGCCCTAGAGTTCATGATCTTAAACTCCATGGCACTCTGCAGGCCTCTTCCATACAGGGCATGTTTCCTGTGGACTCAGCCTCAGCCTCCAATTCACTAGACCCTCTTTACATTGCAGACCTAATCCTGACCATCTTCCCCCACCGGGCTACGATGACATGTACCTGTGAAGGCCTCAAGAATGTAACATCTCAGCCTCCCTTTTACTCTCCAGGAGCTACCACCACTGATCCCATCAGCGTCTGTGTTCTTGTGGGCTTGGGGCAGAGGAGTCTGCCCATGTGTTTGCAGGCCTGCTGGGGTTGCATCCCCAGCCCTTGTCAGAGCCGAGGTGCCTGCTGCAGCACCCCACCAAGCTGCATATAGGTCCCAAGGAAAAATTAGTGTGTCTCAATCACCAGCTCCTCCCCACTTCCAAGGGAGACTCCGGCAACATCAACCCTCTACCCGATGCAGTCGCGGTCACAGCACTATAAGAACAGAACGCATTTTGGATGTTATTATTAAGAACCAAATGTCAATACAGAATTCATGTTGCCGGTTTTCCACTCTCCTTTTTATGTTAATGTACAAACTCTTAAGAGTTTGATACTTCATAGGACTACAGAATTCCTACAAGGGCATTCTTCTCAAGCACCCCCTCTTTCACAAATTACTCTTGCTCCTGACATCACTAAGATGAGCTCTCCCCTCCTCCCCCCAGCTGACAGGCATTGGCAGTGCTCTTCCGCTGTGCTAGAGAGCTGGAAAGAGCATGACAGAGTAACCATGCCAGGAGACACCACGTCAAAGCGCTAAGTGCTTCGTTCCACAGCCAGCAGCCCAACCATGTGTGGCTCTGGGATAGATGAGTAGATAGACTGAACTGACAACCAGGGCCAGTCTAAGGGGGAGGCTGGACCTGGGGGTCAAGCTAGCATGAGCAGTCTCCCTAGCTGTTGAAGGATCCCGTGGGTCAGACACTGACCACCTAGAAGCTGTAGAACATTCTGTGCTCTGAAGCCACAGACCAGGCAGAGACAAAGACAAGACATTCATTGTGCATCAGCTTCATCCTTGAGGGCTGGCAGATGGGATGTTTGGGTTTTGTTGGTAGTTGGGCACCTGCAAAAGAGCTTAGGGCACTTTGCTCATTAAAGCGTCCTTTATTTATGCAAGGAAGCATTTGAAGGACCAGTGGCTAGAATTCTCCAGATAGGTTTGGGAAGGTAGATAACTGGGACTGATTTAAGGAAAAGATAAAAATGGAAACATTTTCCCATTGGGCTTTTTAGTAGCAAAGGTAAAAAGATAGTCATATATTAGTTCTTTTTTTCTACAGATAAAAGGCACAGTGTTTTTGGAGAAAGGGCTGGTTTGATTTGGTTTTGTTCCTATAAGTCTCCTTACATAATAGCTGTGAGAAACACAGTATCATCGATGTGGGAAGCCTTGAATGGTGCCTCCAGGAACTTATGGTCAAGCTGATCCAGGAACTTGCTTGGGTCTCTGTCCCCCCTCCTAGCTGTGTATAGCCAGCAGCAAAAGGGAATGTTTCAGGTGTATGTCCTATAGAACCTCCAAATTGGAGCCTTTTCAGTAAACAAATAGCACCTTACAACCTGTTTTTTTTTAAAAAATAGCTTTATTAAGAGAATTTACATAACCATGAAATTTACTCTTTTAAAGTACACAACTCAGTGGGTTGTGGGGTATTCACAATGCTGTACATCCAACCCCAGATTCCTCCAAAAGAAATATCCCTACTGGCAGTCACTCCCATTTTCCCTCCCCCAGCCCAGGCAACCCCCACTCTGTTTGCATATTCTGGACAGTTTTCATAAGTGACATCACTCAATGTGTGGCCTTTGTGTCCAGCGTTTTCCCCTTTTCTGTCTTCACTGTTCATGTGATTGTAGCATCAACATTTTCTGTAGCTGTACAATCATGGTATAGCTATGTCATATTTGTTAATTTATCAGTTCATGGATACTTGGATTGTTTTTCCTTTTTGCTTGTTAAGTTCAATGCTGTTAACATTCATATACAAGGTGGGTTTTGTTGTTGTTTTGCATGGGCAGATGTTTTCAAGTCATTGAATGTATCTGGAATGGATTTTCAGGGTCCCATGATAACACTTTATATTTTTTGAGAAATTGCCAGTGTTTTCCAAGACAGCCACACTATTTTCGTACCAGAGGTTGTGCTCCAGTTTCTCCATTCCTCACCAACCCTTGTGTGTACCCAAACTAGTGGTGTCAAGTCATGTCTTGTTTGTACCCTTGTCCTATTTGGTTTTGGTTTTGTTTTTTAATGGAAAAATTTGGCCAAGACCATGCAGAACAGAAGCCACAGCATCTTGCCTTTGGGGAGGACTTGTGGCTTTGATAACAGCCGCCTGGCAGTGTCTATGACCACATGGAGTTGGGTTTGACTTTGGGGATGCTCTGGGCTGGCTGTGACACACTAAGGTCTTTTCTCGGGGGAGATTCCTGAGACCTTTGGACATCTAGTAAGACTCACAGCATCACCTTCACTTGGTTTGAAATTTCCTAGCTCATCCAGTGGCTTACAAATAGAATCAAGGTCTACTTCTAAATCATTGTCTTTGGTGCTAAATAAGACCACTCATACTATTTCTAGGATACACCGGCCCACATCCCACCTTCTCTCCTTGGCTTACTGTCTTTTCTATTCTTAGAGCTGGCTGGGTTTGCATTGCATTTTCTCCTCAGTCATGAGCTGGAGCTAACCTCCAATCTAAACCATGAGTTTCCTAAGACCTCAACCCCAGGAGTGTATCAAGTATTAACTGGAGCTGCATTCCTGTGCTAGAGTTAGTACCTCTTGACACACAGCTGGAGAGCAGGTAACACATCTGTACAACCTCCCTCCAGAACCCAGCTTTCCCATGACTTGTCACTGATGACATTTTGTCATGGATCCATAGCTGTCTCTGCAGGAGGAAAACAAATCCATGGATCTCTTCATATTCTCTGTTACCCAATTTTGTACATACACTTTGGTGCAGTTCCTTTAAAGACAGGTCTCACCATCATTGACAGTTCCCTAGGCATATCCCCACTTTTACCTGTCAGTAATACTTGTTTGCTTGCTGACCACTGTTCATCTCTAGAACAGATGCTCAGAGGCAGGCATCCTAGCCACCAGACGTAGGCCTTGTTTGCTCTTGGGATGCCACACCCCAAATCACTTTGCTGGGCTTGACCAGGAATCTGAGAACAGGTCAAAAGGCAAGCGTGGCAGAGTGAGGGTGTGAGGAGTGAGGACTGGCAAGGCTGTGTGTGGTAACTATCCAGGTCCTAGAATGCATCAGGAAATCTAAGCACCTCCTTAAGGCAGTTCTTGTGGAAGCTGAAGACCCATCTTCTACTCACAACAAAGGACCCTGGGTAACATGCACAGTGTCGTTCCAAATGGGCTACATAAAGCAACTGCTGGGAAAGTCACAGTGTAATGGTTCAGGGTAACTGAGTAGGAGGGGCCAGTCTGGAAGTTCAGGGCAGTAAATACACATTTAACTTAGGGGCCAGATAGCTCGTCACCATGGTCTGAGAAGTAAAACTGTACAAAATAGCAGCTGTCCAGGTCTGTATCAGAAAGTAAATGCCTTGCCCTGTCACCTTGTGCCCACTCAGCTCACTTTCAGGTTCCTAGTTCAAGACTCAGTGGACTGTCTTCACCTGGTTTTAAGAATCTGTCAGCTCTCAGACTCTAGCAGCCAGAGGTCTTGGGGAAGCTTCTGTGCTCTTTTTCCATCTCTGCCCATTGGGGTGGTGCAGTGGAACAGCTCTGCTGAGCCTTCTGTGATCGTGTAGTAACAGTGGAGATGGGTACTACACCCTTGCTTGCCACGGCCTCACTAGTTCCTGAGACTCGTGTATGTATACAGTACATCCTAAGCCCCAATCCACAGCTCTAAGCAAAGACCTTCAAGGTCTTGTTTGCAAACTCCTGTTGTAATCACAGATCACATGGTTGGAGAAGAGTGAAGGGAAGTCTTTCTATTCAGCACCACCAACAGTAAAGTCTTGTTAGAAATGAATAATCTCAGGGCCCACCCCGGACTTCTCACTTTAATTATTTTTATGTCTATGGGTGTTTTGCCTGCGTGTATGTTTTTGTACTAGATGCATGCCTGGGACACACAGAGGCTAAAAAGGGCATCAGAGCCCCTGGAATTGGAATTACTGGTAATTGTGAGCTCTGCTGGGTGTTGAACCCAGGTCCTCTGGAAAAACAACAGTTACTCTTAATACTGAACGTTATCTCCAGCCCCAGTGAACTTGCCTTTTGACAAGTTTCCCACCTTCCATGTGCACACTGGATTTGAGATGTTCAAATGTAGATACAGCCCTATACCTTCACCTGGATATCAGGAACAGAGAACTGACTCAGTCGGCTTTAGTTGATGGCATGCATGACTAATGAATTCATATTTTCCTTTTTTCCCCTGGGTGTACCCTTAATATACATTCCATCCCCTTTACCCTATGGATCATTCAAGCATATTTATTTCGTAAATGTCTTTAAACATGTGGGTGCCCTTGTGAGATAACATAATCTTCAGTTCATTAGTCATTCAGCCTCACTTCTAAACCTAAGAGGGTTAGGAAGATCTGGTAGCTTGACAGAAACCAGTGTGGAAATGGCTCCAGCACATTATTGGTACAGCCTTCCCCATCTGTGAAATGGTGTTACCCCTGCCTGTGTGAGTGCTGGAGAGTCTCATTCAACATGTCTTAAAGGTAGTGGGAGCTCAGTGGGTGTCAGCAGCTATCATGGAAGTCATTTTGGTGAAAATGGTTCTCAAAGACAAAGGAGAGGAACTCTGGGCTAAGCCAGAACAGGAGACAGGTATTTATCTGGTACCCACAGTATGCACAGCTTCTTATGCCAGACTATGCTTACTACAACCTGAGGTGACGAATAGGGGAATTAGTCATGGACACACCCTTGAAGGGTGACTGAACTAAATCAGCCTGGCTCTAAAACTTTTCAGTAGAACTGCATCCAAACTTCACATGAGCATGGTCACCAGGCGAAACTCATCCCAGAATCTGGAAAAAGTCAGGACCCCTCTGAGAAGAAATTCTACCTAATCCCAAGGATGGGCATAGACTGAAACGTACTGTTTTCTGGGTGTTCCTCATGTGCCTGAGCACGTAACAGCTACTGCACCAGCCGAACCCAGGCTAGAGGGGGGCATCTGACACCACCTGGCACAGTCTTCACTCTGTAGGGGACAAGCCCAGTAAGCTTCTTTGAGGGTGAGCTAAGGGGTTCTTCTGGGCCTCAAGGCTGGATTTAGGATCTGCTGGGCCTTGCCACATAGCCTCACCTTGGTCCTCTGGGGTTGGCAGTACAGAAGCTACTCTGCAGTAAACAAATGAAAAAGCTAGTCCACATCAAATGCACGAGAAAGATTTCCCCAGCATCACAAAGCACAGAAACTGTCTTCACATCCAAGGCCTCTCTGCTCAGTATGGACCAAAACAGTCACAATAACAGGCCAGTTCTCCTTCCTCCTAGCTAGCCTGTTAGGAAGCACCGTGTTAATTCAGCACCCTGGTCAGCACCCACCCTGCGTGGTGCTGGGGAGACCTCTAACTTCATAAACTAGACTGTTTTCCAAGCCATGGTAATCCAGTTCTGAAGGTAGTCACGCATCTCAGAGTGGAGAAAGGACCTGGCCCTCTTCCTGATCTCTGACACCACTAACTCCTCAAGCCAGTGCTTTTCATCTTGGAAATTCTCCAGATAAAAATAGAACTGAATTTAAGACAGTCAATATTCCTTGGGAATTCTGGACATAGCAGTTATTCAAACCTGCTGAACGGATGAACAAGGATTCTTGGGTGGAAACCATGGGGTTCATGTAGTCCCTGCCTGCAGTCAGGAAGTGCTCACCTTCTTGAAGGCACCCATCTCTAGGAATGATTTAATAAGCCCCAGGGAAGGGAGTTGTACATTCCTGGACCCAGCAAATGACATCTCATTGACTATTCTCTTGACCTCACCCACAGTGCTCACCTCACCACATCTTTGTACCCACAAAGTCCAGCTGACCAGTTGCAATCGAAAAACCTGGGATTCTGGTGACCATAAAGCAACAGCTGGCCAGGGCCGGAGCAGATACTCCTTTTTAATCTTACCACTGTCATGGCCATCTACTGTGTCCACTGATGTTACCTGCAAAACTCTGCACACATGTGCACTTGGGCTCCTGATTCAGCCTGATGGCAAAGAGTAGGGACTACTAGGAGCAGCAATAGTGACAGCTCACCTCTGGGCACCCAACTCCCCACAAGGAACTTCAGTGAAAGAAAATGTGAACACAGAGGAATCAGTAAACACAGAGGAATCAGGCAAAGGAAGCTAGAAGAAGGGAAAGGGGTGATAGATTCTGCTGAATGTCATTGGCCTTGGAGTTAGTACAGATGCCACACCTCCCAGGAAGAGGAGGTTGGCATGGCAGCTGCCTTCTTTTCCTGTCCCTTTGTTCCCCTGGGCCAGAAGAATGGGTGAGTCTCTTGACTTTCTGCTTTTCCTTAAGCCCAGGAGACCAGCAGCCGCCACCTTAACCTCAGAGACTCAGAAATCAAGTGGGAAAGAGCTGCTGAGTTGAGGCTTGGAGTCAAAGCCATGTCCCCTGGCTGGAGTAAGGAGGGCCAGGGTGTGTGCAGTGTTGCCTCCACAGTACATCTGATAGAGAAGAATCTTCCAGACAAACCTGTGAGTACAGGGAGGACAGAGCCTGTCACATTACCACACTCATGCCTGTACAGCCTTCTCATAGGAGCCTGCATCTGTCTCTCCTAGATGATGAAGCCCAAGCACTCACTGTGGGCCCCACTGCACACTCCTCAGTCACCTGTGCTACACCACCTGCCTGCCTCATCTCTCACCCGCTGCTGAGGCCTGAGCCTCTTGGTCACATGTCTCTCTGTTTCTGTCTCTCTCTCTCTCTCTCTCTCTCTCTGTGTGTGTGTGTGTGTGTGTGTGTGTGTGTATGTCTTTCTGTCTTTCTGTCTCTGTGCCTGAAGTCCCTACCACCAACTCTTAACATCAGTACTTCCTGTTTGTTTAAGATTTCCATTAAGCACCCCTTTCCAAAAGAACCTTCCTGACCCCCACATCACAGGTCTCCCTCAATCCACCTACACATATGCACGT